CTTTAACCAAAAGAAGGCTGAGGGGGGGACATGATTGCACTTTTTAAATATATTAGAGGGATAAATACCAGGGAGGGAGAGGAATTATTTAAGCTTAATACCAAAGTGGACACAAGAACAAATGGATATAAGATGGCTAGTAGGAAGTTTAGACTTGAGATTAGACGAAGGTTTCTAATCATTAGAGGAGTGAGGTTCTGGAACGGCCTTCCAAGGGAAGTAGTGGGGGCAAAAGATCTATCTGGTTTCAAGATTACACTAGATGGGTTTATGAAGGGGATGGTTTGATGAGATAACCTGATCTTGGTAACTAATTGACCATTCATTTCCAGTTGGAAATAGGTCAATGGAGGGATGATAGGAGTTACTATAGAGAACTTTCTGGGTGTCTGGCTGATGAGTCTTGCCCACATGCTCAGGGTTTAGCTGATCGCCATATTTGGGGTCGGGAAGGAATTTTCCTCCAGGGTAGATTGGCAGAGGCCCTGGAGGTTTTTCGCCTTCCTCTGTAGCATGGGGTACAGATCACAGCTGGAGGATTCTCTGCATCTTGGGGTCTTCAAAGTATTTGAAGGCTTCAATATCTGAGATATAGGTGAGAGTATTATTTTAGGAAGGGTGGGTGAGATTCTGTGGCCTGCACTGTGCAGGGGGTCAGACTAGATGATCATAATGGTCCCTTCTGACCTTAAAGTCTATGAGTCTATAAAACCTAACTCCGCTGAGGTAAATGGGAGTTTTGCTACTAATTCCATTAGGCCTAAGATTTCATACCAACTTCCAATGCCCAAAAGTTGAGAAGTAAGGTGTAAAATCAATAGGACTCCAGAGAGCATATCCAAGAATTCCTACATTTTTTCTGCAGTAAAGGGACTTTGTGTGCTGTTAATTCTATCAGTCAATTACGATATCCAAGAACTACAGAGCACCACACAAAAAATGGTAGAGATCAATAGTCTCAAGCAGCTCAGAGGAAAGGAAAATCAGTTCAGACACACAAGGTCATATTTTTTTCCATTCTTTAAAAAACAAAACAAACAAACATGACTTTAAGGGTCACCAAATTTTATCCTCATTCTATGGCTTCACCAGGAATTACTACAGCATGATCGTGCTTTATTAGCTGCTAAAGAAATTCAGTCCAAGCGGAAATGGAAACAACAAGACTCACAAGAGGAAACCTACAACAAATGGTCTGGAAACCTGTTGGATTTCAAAGACTGCAGCTGTCAACATTCTTGACCCAAGTAGTATACTGTACTGAAATTCCTGTAAACTTTGCTAAGTGTCGCATCAGAGCACCGTAACAGGAGCAAAACAGCACTGATGAAAATGGGTTGAAAGTATAATTCTGTAATTTAGTATTTCAGCAGTTCATGCTAATAAATTATTTCAAGTTTCCATACAGTGTATTATGTATAAGTGAAAGGTTGGCCAATGGTTAGGGTACTTGTCTAAGACTTTGGAGACCAGAATTTGATTCCCTGCTCTGCCACAGACCTTCTCTGTCAGATCAAGTGTGTCAGTGCCTCTATTTCCCCATATCTAAAACAGTATTTTGGTACCTCACAGGAACAATGGGAGAATAAATACATTAAAAATTGTGAGATGCTGAGATACAAGATTCATAGTGTGAACCCATAACTGACCTCTTCTTCTACCCTAGGCAAAAAATTTATTTTCTGTGAAACAGGATCTGAAAAATAAAGATATTTTGATAAATATTTTTCTAAATAAAGCTGCATAATATACTACCATAGTTTAAGACTAAGCAAAATGTTACAATATTTAGAAGTACCTTGTTAGTACATAAGAAAAAGTACATATAATTAAAAACAAATGTAAAGAGACTAGTGTACAGTGATAACATACTTTCTTTGGCGTTACCTGAATCAGCAACCTCGCCATGGTTTGGTATACTTGTCATTGGTGAACTAAAATATTCTTCTGTGCACTTGTTAAAAACCTGGAAATTTTTTTAAAAATAGTCTGTTAAGGTATATCTAAAGACAGGGGAGTGCCAATCCCAAAACAATACTATAACTGAGGCTCTGTTCAAATATTATTTTCCATTCCCCATAACATTCTCAGAAAAATTAAATTTCACAATTTCAATCTTACTTTAGAAATGAAAAATTCATTTTTAGAAAATATCATGAAATATATGAGTATACCTGATCTCACATGCTTTTAAAAATTGAGCATATTTGGAACTGATCAGTACTTGAATAAGAGATGCCAATAGGAAAAAAATATGTTGAATCTATGTGTATGTATGCAACAGACAATTAAGAGTTTGTAGGCCTCAACTAGTACTTAGTCCCTAACAAAATATGAAATAGTTCATAATCCAATTGCTTTCATTGGGACTATTCATCAAGTAAGGTACTATTCAGGGGGATTAAGAATATCTGATTATGGCCTTGAAATTCCTGGATAATTATCTGTATTCTAAGTTATCTACAATAGATTTTGCAATTTTTATTTCTCATTGGCTGAATAAATGTGAAATATGTACTATAAGTCCAAAAACATACTTTTTTTCTGTTCTTGTTCTCACATAATTGTAGGTTTCTATAAAAAAAATTCATCCCCCCCAATGCTGTTTTTTATTCTTGTTCTTAGGCCAAAGATTACCATTTTTGGTAATTTTGGTAACATCATTTTTAGTAGTTTTTGGAGCTATAGTTAGGTTTGGAAGAATTAAATTTTCAGTAAAAGGCTACTTCTACACTGTGGTACAATTTCTGGATATTGGAAGTACCCCAAATTAGCTATTCTGCATCTTTTCAGCACGTTCGTTACCTCAAAATATAATGGGCTCGCTAATCTGACATTCAACGAGGGGTAAGTGACGTTTTAGAAAAGCACTTTATTTTGAAATTACCTCAAAAACTACGCAAATTTTGCATAGCGCTAATTGCATAGCTTATTTCAAGGTAATGGTGCACACATGTAGAAGCACCCTTACCGTCAATTTCACAATAGACACATATGCTAACTAAAGTATTTCTACAAGTAATAATCAACGTTTACAAACAGGAAAGCAAGACAAATGCTGTTTATTTGTTTGATTTAAAGATATTTACTTGATGTAGTTCGACATGGACACTGATCATTAATGTTTTAATGGCTATCAATCTAACTTTTTGAATTTCAGGATATACTATGACTAAATATTCACTGTCTGGTCCCTCAGTTTCCCAAAACAGTAAACATTTAAATTGATTTTAAAAAGCCTTAATTTTCCACACCTGTGAACATTTAAATTATTAAAAAATAAAAAAATGCTTAAAACTAATCAATATTATCCATCAAAATGGGTATTTCTTTCTTTTTATAAATGTTGTCAAACTTAACTACAAGCTCCCTGCAGCTTTTAGGGTGCACCAGGTGTAACATCCCCAGCACACACGCACGGACTGTGACACTGATTCTCAACATCTCCCCCCCAGCCAGTGCCCCCCCCAGCCGAGCCGGGAGAGCCAGGCGCCCACGGCCAGCTGCCCAGAACAGCGTTTTTCTCCCATCCGGACGGGACGTTCGAGGGCACGCCGCCCCAGCTCGCCGCTGCGATTGTTCCCAGTAGGTTAATAGTGGGGGGAGCAAGCAGAGCACTTGCCCAGGGGCCCCGGGTTACTCCGGCCGGCTCAGCCCAGAGCACAGCGCCGAACTCCCCTGGGCCGGCTGCCTAGACCGTCCTCGCGCTGCAAGGGCCGCGCACCGAGCGGC